CATTAAGAATAAGACGATCCGTTACATAGGTAGCTTAATTTAGGTCTAAATACCCATAATGAAGGCCTGAATATTTTTAGCGATCTTTGGTAGAGTAAGAAAGGGTAAATTAATTAGAGCTTTCCATGTGGGCAATTAATTAGAGCTTCCTTGTGTAGTTTATTGCTGCTTCAGAAGAGATTTTGAAACATGTATCTAGACTTTTGAAATATTAATAATGCATTTGTGCCAAAATGGATGATGTTAAAAGGTTACATTTTATCATCTTGTTAGTATACTGCAATAGCATATTTTAATAAAAAACATTGCTAAATGAAGTCGGTAATAAATCACTAAGAAACTTAGACACATCAATGGACGGAAATTAATTTCAATGATAGAAAATAAAGTTTCTTCTGATTTATAATAATGTTTATTTCCGTGTGATTTCACAAGATGAACTTTGAAAGCAAATATTTGTATCCGATATAATGATTTCATAAATATTCAAAAATATGTATTTCTGCATATCGATAAACTATGTCACTTCCTTTAATAAAAAAATTCTCTTCCAGCAAAATATATTTTTCCCGATCTTTAAAGAAACGTAGAAAATTTTAAGACAGTATTATATTTTTCGAATACTTTGCACATTTATTGCTGCTTCAGAAGAGATTTCGAAACATGTACGTAGACTTTTGAAATATTAATAATGCATTTGTGCCAAAATGGACGATGAGAAATTGTATACTTTTGCATTAGTAGAAACAGGAAATATCTATCCTTTTTCCAGTTTACACTGAAACAGAAATTTAAAGAAACGTTTACCGGCTTTCATGGACGATTTAAAGGTAAAATAACACCGAAATAAGAGCTGCAGAATGTTAGCAATAGTTTATAAAGATAAATGTTAACTAATAGAAGTTGAATCGGAGATCAGCATTTAATAAATATGTAGAGTCTGGTATGTTTTTTAATCATGCAAAGTGTCCACTCTTGACAAATATTAAGACTTTGTCTCCAAGTCTAAAATAACAACTGAAACTTGACAAGGGTGTAAGAGATACTTTTATTCAAAACTAAGAAGAACAGAAAGCAGACCTGGCAGCACTTACTAATCAGCCAACCACCTGTGGCAAGATAGCTGAAATGAACAATCAACTATACATTTAAATTCAAGTAATCCAACAGCCGAGGGCTACACAAATCAATTTAACGCGATGTTGTCTCAATTATCTAGCCGGCGTGCAGATTCAATCTCGGCGATTATAATGCAAAGCCAAAGATTAAAATTTTTATTTATCAATCTAGCAACGCAGTCTCCAGAGGCAAAATACTCTCCGAGTTACAATCTAAAAATCTCACTATAAATGCTCGCGATAATAATATTAATTTTGGAAAAGCGGAAGGGAGAAGTGACAGTAAAGATTAAAAACATAAAATATCTGGTTAATGAAAGTAAAGGAACTTTACAAAAAAAATAATATTTTAACAGAACTAGTTTATGTTTTAACTGTTATTTAGTTACGTTTAAAAAACAGAGTTTTCCTGCATGGAAATAATGGCTTCGTGGAGGAATCTGCAAGTTATTTCGGTTTTGATTATGTTACTAGAGCATGAGATGAGGAAATCATTATATGCAGCCATCCATTCAGCTGCCAAGAAAAGACGCAGAAGCGAAATATATTGTGTCGGTCGCATATATTGTGTCGTTAGATGTCCAACCAGTATTCTCTCTGTTCTGTATATTCTTTTGAAACGCATGAGGCTACGAAGAATTAGACTTAAAAACAGTCAACGAAGGGAGGCGCATATGGATGGCATGCGGCCCTGAAGCAATTTTATGCAGCCCGGTAATTTATTTTCCGTAAACTTGCTGCAGATTTGCTTAACCTTTTTTCGTATATGGCAAAAGATAAATATATTTAGCTACGAAATATTTTAGCAAGAATAATAGCTTTGTTTGAGAATACAATTATATGCGAATAGTTTTTTTACGCAGCTGAAATTTATTAAAAATGAAAAAAAAATACCAGCCTGATCGATGCAAATGTATAACTTGTGATAAAGATATTTATCACTAGTTATTTTTTTCTAAAAACACAAACTTTACCAAAATCGAAACTCTATGTGATTTTGTAGCTGGCAGCGTTAGTAAGAAATGAACAAGTCTGCTATAATTATTTACATATAATTATATTTATTTCTGTATATGCAGAAAAATATTTATAAATAGAAGAAATGTAATAGGTTGTTATTATTTATTCGCAAGTTTTGTGCCACTTGGTAAGTTTCCGTAATTTGCTTACTTTTAATTTAAAGTACATTATTTAATAGCTAATTGGGCACATTAGAATTATCTTGCATTAAAAAAGGCCAAGAGAATGTAATATGTGTGGTGTGTACGCACTAAGCTGGTCAATATTTGAAAATGATTTTACCCGATTCATTGTATAAAGTGAAGCTTTTAATTAATTTCCCATGAGTTTATTTCTTTTATTACCTTTACTGCTGATTCTTACTCAAATTTTTCATATGTTGTAAACTAAAGCAGTAAAAGAATTGATCCCTTTCATTTAATCTTTCTTTAATAACATTTATGTATTATTTAATTTCGCTCAATCTTATCATTAAGTCTCAAAATGTATAGACAATATTAAAGTTGGACTTATTCTGTACTTTTTAACTTTCCCATTCTCTTCCCCATGCACTTACTACTGTAGTGCAAAGTCAGTTTCGCGCATTCGATTCTTTAGAAAATCGGGGCTTATTACCGTGAAATAAATGTTTGTGTACAAACTTAATATTTTACGCTCAGCACATTTAAATTAAAAACTGTAATCAACAGAAATTTCTTGCACATCCCAAACTTTTGGAATTTAGACAGAAAAAATAATATAAATTTGGAGTTTCTCCCTTGCATAATTATTATGACAGTTTATTTTTATTATGACAGTTTATGTTTATTAAGACAGTTTATTGTGACAGTTTGATCAATGTTTAGAGAATAAAATTTTAAATTCAGTTAAAAAATTCATTTCATTTAAAAATAGCTTTTGGTTGAAAGAACTTAGCTCATCAGTTGTTTTAAGACTATGCATTCAGCCTGGATGCAGTTTGAGTTAGAACCAACAACAAAGTATATATAGCTATATTGTGTTTCATCAAAATTAATAGTAAAATGCCTTTTAATTATGAGTTGCAGACATTTGCCTTGATTGTTGGAAGTGGAGAAACATATAGATGCACTTTCTAATAGTGAAGTATTCTTATAGAATATAAAAGAATCAAATTTGCGAATGTTTTAACATTCCTATGCATATGACATCAAAACAAAATCCCTCAAATTCCTCCCCCCCCCCGAAGAAAATCACTTCCTAGCAAATAAAAAAGGCGTTTTCCCTGATCCACATGACGTAACGTTTATATTCGGAATTACAAACATACATAGCGTATTAGTGTAATAAAAAGTACTACAAAAATATTCTGTAAAATATTTTTTTTTCTAAAATTAAAATAAATTTTTTTTCTATTTAAACTAAATATTATATGTGTTCTAAATACCATTTATAACATTTGCACCATTTAACATTTTTAAATTTATATCATGAACCACTTACACTGTCTATTTTTTATATCCTCATCTAATTATTATATGGCATTTTTTAAGACATGTGTATCCATTAGAGCCTGCGTGGACACGAATGTTAAGTACTGAACTGGTCTGAACTGAAATCTCTCTAAAAGTCTGAAATTTCAAATTTCATGGTTTTCTCCGAATATAACGTAAACAAGGTTCAGAAAAGTTATACATTAAGTAAATGTACTATAAAGTATTTCTCGTGTCTTCTTAGCATGCTTTCGTGGTGTAGTGGTCATCCCATTTGGCGCATATCGGGAGGTACAGTGGCGCCCGAACTAAAAAAGGTGATGGATGATGATTCTCCATTATCAAGATTTGGCGATTGTGTCTCCTAATCTCCATTTGCCCTTTAAAAGGGGGAGTATATAAGGTATTTCTCCCGCGTTCTTAGCATGCCTTCGTGGTGTAGTGGTCAGCACACTCGGCGAGTATTCGAGAGGTCCGGGGTTCGAGTCCCGGAGAGGGCGTTGCTCATTTTTCATGTACTCTTGCTTAAAATAACCTAATAACTCTACAGTAAAATTAAATGAATACGTTTCAGAAAGGCGTCCGTTCTGCTAAAGGCATGTTCGGTGGAATGTGATTCCCCATAGTTTAGGACTGGATAAATTGTAACAATTTCATAAGCCTGGTCCAAAACTACGAAAGATTGTAAGAAAGATTCAAAGGACATTAAAGACTCCACCAAATATATTAATAATACAAAGAATTTAGAATTTAGAGCGTTAGGTTTAGAATTCGATTTGAGACCGCAGGACGAACATACTATATCTGAAGTTTATTGTGAAATAGATTGAGGAACCTCTGAATCTACTAAGGTATTCAGATGTAACTAGGAAGTATTCTTCGTATATTTAGTCTTTTACATTCGAATTACTTCGAAGTATTTTGAATAATATACTTTCAAAATAATAACATCCTCTTTTGATGACACAGCATACCCTGATTATTATTACCCAATAAAAATGGTACCTTATAAGTTCGAATGTTTGATCCGGCACTTTTCAGTATTGAGCAATAAAACGAAAATGGTCCTTTCAATGAACTAAAGCTAAGATCTTCAAGCTTACAGCGCGAGGTTTATGTCTGATTTCAACACGACTGGAACAGGTATGAATTGCGGGGTTTATACCTTAGGGGTATTGGATCAAAAGGTGCTTAAGGATCGTTTTAATAACAGAACTTTGTTTCGCAACGTGGGCAAGTTTTCCTGACCCGTTCCAATAACTCCACGAAGTCCAAACGACGACCTTGGGGAGCAAAACGGAGGGGGAATAGGAATAGATGGAAGAAAGAATCGAATGAGGGGGCGCCCCCAACCATACCGATTGGCCAAGCGGCGGCGGCGCGTTGCATCTTTCTCTTGGGCCTCCGCGGATTCAGTCGCATCCCGTTTTCTGACGGATCCGCTGCGCTCTTATCTCCACCATCCGCTCTAAGTCTCGAGAGTGCGGAATATTATTTTCTTATCGCTTGCGGTGTGCTCGGAAGGATTTAAATGGACACTCGTGCAGCACCGCTGCCTGGACTTGAATTTGCCTGGAATCACTAAAGTTACTTCCGAGAAAGGTAAGCTTGATTTCATTTTGCATGGAGGATAGGAAATTTGAAATATATTGATATTCTGGTACACTGTTTTATAAATAATGAAAGGAAAAATCTCATATTTGAGATATTGAAGGGAAGCTGATGGGAAACAGCGACAACATTACAGGAAAAAATGCTTGGATGAAAAATTATTGCCTTATTGGCAAAGATGTCGTAAGCAAAATATCATAATTATTCAAATAGAATGCGAATATTTTTTTCTACTGAAAATAAGATTTTTGACACCGTATTCGGCTTACGTATTAAGTTTAGCATTTAAAAATGCGTACTAAGTTTCACTTCAAGATATGTTTATCTTTTAATTTTGTGTTTTGAAGAACACCGTCACAACAACGAGATCATACGCGTGAGGTTATCTTATAAGTAAATCTAGATTACATTTTATAATATACAGAATGGCTTAACACATTGCTATTTTATATTCCGGTTACTACTATATGTGACTCTGAAGTTTTAGATGATTTTTAATTCCTGAATTATTGATTAATGGATAATGCACTGCATAAACTACTTTCTTATTTCTGGCATGAAATTTGTATATTTCGTTTGCGTTCTTTTCGCTCAAAATGAATTGCATTTATATTAGCGAATACTATTCACAAAAATAATGTCTAATGCTTAGCTTAGCGAAAACATTCTTTTGATATCGTTTTTTAGGATCTCTTTGTGCACTAAAAATTATGTAAAACAAAATATACTTTCAGAGTTAAAAAATATAAATTTTAAATTAATGAATATAAAAAATTTTCCTAAACAGAAACCTTTCCTAGGCATTTTTTTCTATTAATTTAAATGTTAATTATAAAATATATTTAAATTCAAAATTTTTTATTAACTTAAATACATGTTTTCATGAAATGAAATGCGTATGATACTTTATTATTCATTGTGTGAGAAAAAGTTATTTAAAAATTTCTGCAGCTTAAATAACTTTTTAATAGTGGCACGTAGAGTACTATTTCTGATTTAAGAAATGAATCGAATAAGATAGCCTTCCAAACTATGGTAATTTTACTGATGAGGCACACTTTCCTAAAAATTGTGACATTTAGATCTGTTAGAAAGATTTGTTATAAATTATATCTCAACTTTTAAACGGTAAGTACCATAGTTAACCATTGGTATTGGTTTGCATTGGTATGCAGAATTTGACCTGAAACGAAATTCCTGTTTCTATTATTTAAGCTGTTTTCATTAAAAAAATATCGATATTGTGGGCCGTATAAAACTGAATTTAATTAAAAAGGGAATTTTGGTATTATTATTTCTGTGAGTGGCAGTTTGAAACCAATGCTTTTCTTTTTAAAGCGAAAAGCAATTTTTGTATATTACATTCCGATATCTAAAGTGCATGTTTGCAAATAGTAATATTCGTATAATCTAAAAAAAAACTTATTAATGTGATTTCTGGTAAAATAATTCCTCCAAAGAAGCATTTATTTTTTAAATTTAATTTTCATGTGTATATGTATAACTTAAGTACCATAGTTAACCCATTTCTAAAACTGGAAGTATGGGTGCAAGACTACCATTTCGATAGTAATTTAACTTTGCTATCTTTTGAATTATCTTCGAAACTAATGTTTTCTATACTAATATTTTAAAATAACAATTATTTCAAGCAAGAAAAGTTTTTATTTAATACTGTGATAAAAGTCGCTATATTTGAACGTAAAATAATGTTTTATGTTCAGAAATGATGTTATATCATGAAGTGTTAATTATGATTGATAATGAATAAGTAACGTACGTGCAAAAAACATTTTTGCATGCAACAAAAGCAACAATGCAACAAAATGCATGCATGCAACAAAAGTAATTAACTTATTTATTTAACATTGTATTTGTAAATGTGAAACTTTCAGGAAACAAATATGCCATAAAATGATAAAAGTAATAGTCATTATTTTTAAAACTTGCATTCTTGCTTTTATATTTGCAAATCAAATATATTATGTCAGTAAAGCTGAAATATGTGTACTGTCTCTTTTCAGAAGAAAGAAATTTATGCTTGCAACAAATGTAGTTAAATACATATATATATATATACTGTAACTTTCAGTAAAAATTATAAATAGCTTGATTGAACAGTGTTAGATAACTGTCACAGTGTTACGCGATTTCTTGAATTTTTAAGATTATTATTTAAAACTAACCAGTTATCATGATCTGGATCTGTACTTGAACTTCTTCTTTTTTTATTCCTCACCGGAATGTAAATGCGATAGCTAATATTTCAATTAAGGTCGCTGGATTTTAAGACAGAGCTTGTTTCTGGCCTGCGCGTGCATGAAACCTTTAGTTCCTGCTAGCTCTGCTGTTGTTGTTGTTGTCATTTTGCTCATGTATTTCATGGAAGAATGGTTGCCAAAGCCTCAAGGAGGTTGGGTTTCTCCTGCCACCCACGTTTTGAAGGAGAGCAGCCACGGAGTGTGATCCGAGAGTCTCCCACCCGTCTCTCCCATATCACCGAACTGCATGACTTTCGGCTTGCCATATATTTAGAGTGTTCTCCCCCATACCGCATGCATTTAAAAACATCCATGCACTCTCTGGGATTCAAACTCGGGTTTTTCGGTACCACAGTAGACTCCACTAACCATTGTACCTGGGCGCCTCGGATTATTCGGATTTGCATTACATCGTTGCCGACACCTTGATTTTGAGCTCCGGTTAGGATTATTGAGCCAGCTATGAGTAAAATTTAATTGCGCAGTCTTTGACTACTGTACGACGTTCAACTTGGATCTGACGTTTCTGTTCAGTTACACCATTATGAGCCGTGACTGATATTGTTAACACAAATATGCGTTTATATTTTAATTTCTCTTCAAACAAAAAGGTTTTTGAAACCTTTCAGCGATAGCGACCGACGGACTCATTACCATAACAGCTACGTGGACACAACAAAAACTTTTACAACCATGCAATTGGTTAGATACATCACGGGTCACGGACCATTTCCCGAGTGCTTTAACAAACACGGAATACGTCACAGTAGCCAGTACGCCTGTGCACAGACTGGCTCTCCGGAGCATTTACCTGACCTCCTGTCCCCTTACAGAAGGGTTACACATCAACCTTCCGTCGACCAATCGACAAGCCTTCTGTAAGTTTTTGATAAAATAGAGGCACTTGGTTAGAAAACTAGGGCTTTTAATGGATAAACTGGCCGACCTTGACACAGACCTGTGCCATACTTAGTCAGCCATTTAGACGAATAGTAATTCAGTGCCTGGCACCAACTGCCAACACCACAGAATAGCTGTAGCTTTAACACAGTATTAAGTACCAAATATGTATGTATGTTTATGTCTTAGCGTATTAGCACAATGACTACGTATGGATATCTAGATAAAGATGGACGTGGCGCTATACGATTAACCGTATTGGTAGAAGGGTAGTGCCCACGTCCTCTGTCGCATGTCCCATGTAGTTAGTTCAGGCATAGCTATAATTCTCTTCACGTCTGTTAGATGTTATTTAGACTAACCCATATCACGTTTAACCCCACAATTCATTACTTCTTTACGGAATTTTAATTTTAATTTATATTAATTCCATGAAATTATTTTTATTATATTTTTCATACTAAGAATGAAGCAGTTTTGGGGAAAAAAAACTGCAGTAATTTGCTAAAGTAATGGAATAATTGAATAACAAAATTTATATTCCCCTTTAACACATTATGTATAGCACAAACCTCTAATGTATTGTGCAAAGCATAATAAAGATATAGCATTTCATGACAATGATCAAATGTTTTCTGCTCACATGTGAGCAGATAAGGAATAATTAATGTGACTTCGTCCTAATTCGGGCTGCATAAAAGTGCAATAGCTGCATCACATTAAATTCACTGAATTCTATTCTTCAGGCGTTTTCAATATTTTTTGGGTTTTTTTTTTTTTTTTTTTTTTTTTTTTTTTTTTTTTTTTTTCTCATTATAGATTACACTTTGTTGTTTATATGTTTCTGGTTTTTTAGACAGAAATTGTTTGGAATAATGCTATTGTTTCTCAAACTTTTGGGAAAACATCTTTTATACATTAATACTGCGAAGGCTTGAATTATTCCTTATACATATTAATGAAACAACTTTAAGCAAGTTATTTTAGACAATTTATATTAAAATTATTTACAAGCGTTTCAGATTTTGTAAATACATTTACAACGTATTTAAATACGAAGATGCAGACTGCATTTGTTTAATTATTTGTACTAAACTTCAGATAATGTTTCAAAATTTCATAAAATAAAATTAAAATTTAATAAAGGTAGACTCAGCTTGGAGAGAGGGCAGATGAAAAAAAATTATTATCGTCTGGGAGCGATTTTTAAATATAAAACCGAACTTTTTATATAATCCTGCTATATCAAAAAGTCTAAATAGCAAAATGCTTATTCTGATGTAATAAGATGAATACACAAGTATTGCTCATCTTCACATGCAAAATTTTCTGACATACTTGACAGCAAATTTTCAGACGTAGGTCATTGCCTATTTTTAAGGGATTTTAACTGCGATTTTATTCTATTGTAGAAGAAACTGATATAGTTGCTCCTCGAAATTTGTTTGTTTGTTATTGAAATTTGTGTTTTACATTATACCGGTAATAAGCGTATTTTTTGTCTTGTGAGATCGTAGCAATTTCTTTAAATAACTAGGCTAGATGAACAGAAAGACTTACAACTTTATTCAAAACAACAGCAGATTTATAGACGAGGTAAACAATTAAAAATAGCTAAAAGAGGGAAAATGTTGATCTGCTGATTTTCTGCTTAACCCCAAAGAGATATCGTACATCAGCAAAATCGCTCTCGTAGCGAATTCGAAAACTATAATCACCGAACAGAAACTCAATATACTCGCGGACCTTGAACTGAACTTTTGAACCATTCAGATGACACCCACTCGTATAGGTTACTCAAAAACAGGATACTCATGTTTTTAAGTTCCG